GAACCCCGTGGCCTAAACGATGCTGAGGCTAATTTAAGGATTTTTTTTTTTTGACAGGCTAACAAGCTTCATGCCACCAAAATATTTAGCCTCGTCTCATACAGACGCTCACATAACTGCCGTCTCTCCTGGGGGGTGGGTCCTCATTCAACCTTTATTTTTTTATGCGGGTTAATCCCATTGAGTCTCGGGGACTCATTTACAAGAGAGTAGGGGTGCACCGATTTATCGGCCCTGATTTCCTTAATTTTGGGAAATCGGCCGATACTTGCATGAGAAACCGATTTTATAGATTTTTTTTAGTTAATTTTCTGAACTTCATTTATATTTCAGAGCTCTACCTCATGGCCAGTTAAAACAAGTTTTTATTGTTTCTAGGATATTGTTCAAGGGTATGTTTTTCAACAAAATAATATTGGAAAATTGAAGGTGCATTGTGACCTTATAACATCTGACAGTGTCGATTATAAAACAAAATCTGTATCGGCCAAAATCGAAATCGGCAGATCAGACGTTTTAGAGATCGGTGATCGGCCAGAAAACTGCAATCGGTGCACCCCTACAAGAGAGGCCTGAATTTTAACAGAGTGATGACAACAGTGGACAACAACAAGAGACAACATAAAGGATGCGTACAAATTATTATTATTATTATTTTTTAACAAGTGAAAATAAAATGTTAATTAAAAGGAAAAGTAGTGAAAAAAACAGCTAGATTGTAAGGTGGTGTAGAACACTAAGGTGGTGTAGAAGACTAAGGTGGTGTAGAATACTAAGGTGGTGTAGAATACTAAAAACAGGAACATGTCTGCATTGGTTTTGGCCAGGATGACTCAATGAGACTACCTGTATAAATAAAGCTTAAAAAACAATCTGATCATTGAAATGACTGAACAGGTCACAGTGGACCAATGAAACGAGAAGGGGAGGAGTGAATGGGGAGGGTGGGGGGACCCCTGGGGCACAACAAAATATCTGCAGCCACTCTAAGTGTGAATCCTGCATTTAAAGTGAAACTCTGAGCTTGGTGGGAGGCTTGGATGACTGGCGCTCAGAAATCGTTTACCAAAACTGGCTGCATGCGAAGAGCAACTTTTGCTCAAGTCTGCCAGTAGATCCTGACAGTGGAGCGGTGTAAAAAATCCTCCATCACAAACGGGTTTTGAAATGCAGCTGTGTGATGAAAAGGACAGCACAAACTCAAGAGCACAGTGTGCAGGAGGAAGATGATGATAGTGATCAATGACTTCCTGGTAGGCTACTGTATTTTTTATTTTTTTAACCAGCCGTGTTGCAGGCACTGTTCAGAAAAAAACATTTACTGTATGTGTACGCTGCCAGTACAAATTTAATAAAAAGTTCAAAAAAATCTTTCTGTATAAAAATCTCATACAACATGAACAAGCGCAGCTTAGACAAGCGCGGCCTATATATGTACTTTTTAATTATTTTTTTTAATTTAGTGGGCACGGCTTGTATTCGGGTGTGCTCAGTAGTTTGGAAATTGCAGTAGTTTCCAGCAGTCACAGCCCTGTTAGATACTACCTATAGAAGCAGATTTGACACCTCAAGCTGGATTGAATAATCTGATCCTCAGGAGTTATAAAGGGGGAGTGGTGGCACAAAGGCTAGAGAAGGTGGGCCTGTGATCGGAAGGTCGTCAGTTCGACTCCTCAGACTGACAACATCAAAATGTGGGTGGGAAAGGTCAGAGCCCTGTAAAGAGAGAGTTGCGACACTCTTTGAACTCGCCGATACGCGGTCACGTGGTTCATGCAGCTCCCCATAGTTCCAAACAGCTCATCGCTGTCAGTCAGTTTGAGCGGCTGCTGGCGCAACATAACACAAAAATCGACTTTTCTTACTTTACCTGACGTCTTTCAGTAATTATTGAGCAGTAACGAACTGATTACTTAACTGATTACTGATTATTTCACAGACTATGCATTTTATCAAAGCATTTTTAGAAGCAGCTGATACATTTATCATTAAATTTTAGAAGGAAACGAGACTGCAAACACATATTTGTTAGAAAAATAATGTATATGCAATACAATGATCAATATAGCCATGTCAGTGTTTTATAACGTTAAAAAAAGATCAGAGTAACACCTGTTATAAAGCTGTTTCTGATGTTCTCTGCATGAGAATGCTCCACCTTGTCCTCCATGCAGCAGTTCAGATCTGCTCCAGCTTACCTCAGATCATCTGGATGAATTATTGATTTCTATAGAAGATATTAATTCAACCTTTATTTAAACAGGTTCGTCCCATTGAGCCACGAGGACTCATTTACAAGAGAGACTGAATATAATTGTTGTATTTGTCGTTTTTTTTATGGCAACCAAGTACCTGATAACTGAGTTGATTGTAGCCTGACAACTATTGTAAAACTGTAATTCATTGATTAAAATGTTAATTTAAATGAAACTGTTTCTAGTTAAAATCACAACAGATGACAAAATAAGTGTTAACTGTGCAAAAATAAATTTCCAAACAATTTATTATAAAATATGTAAAATGTAAAGCAAGCTTTAATAAAGTACTTTTACTACTATTTATACTGTTTATTAATACATCATCTGAAGTCAGCTGGAGCACCATCATCATCATCACAACAACACAAAGTGAGAGCTGTAAATTTAATCTGCACAAACATTTTCAATCAGGGCTCAAAATGTTTAACTGTCAAATAAATGTTCAAGAAAATAAACTAATGTCACTCTACAGGCACATTTAGAGAGAGGACAGTTCACAGAGACACAGTGAGGACGTGTGAGACAGAAGGAGGTTCAACCATTTGTTCATGGACCAGAACCAGATGAGAAGAACAGCATAACTTCCACTGCATGTTGATCCACTGACCAGTGATCTGACCAGTGATCTGACCAGTGATCACACATGTTGTTCTAAATTAAACTTTGGTACGAACAGTGTTAAATAAGACATGTCATATTTTTATTGAACAATAATCTTCATTCTAACAGTGACGTTGTAATTTCAGAGACTGAGGAAGAAACAGAAATGAGGCGAGTGAGATGAGGGACAGATGAAAATGTGTCCTCAGAGGACGGGGACATGTCAGGATCTGATGATCCAGGATCAACAGGGCCAGGATGGATCAACAGGACCAGGAGGATGGATCAACAGGACCAGGAGG